GAGTTCTGAACGCTGTTGTCGAGGTATGGGATAAGGATGGGCCGCAAAATGTGAGTTCATTACATTCAAAAGTCACAGGACCTATGTGGTATGAGATGTATATTAGTAACCAAATACATACCACGTTTTTCTCGCCTAAGATTGTACTCTTGATATGTCGCTTTTTTTCAATATGTGATTGAGTAGTATTGAGTATCTTTGTTTCATTATTCTTGATATAATAATATTATTCATATTCAATAAAGCAATATGTTGTTTATTAATTTCTTAGTTCCTATTAATCACGTTCACTTTCGAGATGATTCGTATTTAGATCCGAGTCATTGATGCTATTGATCCTGATGATAAAGCTGGTTTGACAGTGGTAGATGGAGAGGATGGAATGTTCAAGGTGGAAGGTATGAGTCACTACAATTAGTTGGTTGTCGAGGTATAGTTTGAACCAGCTGGTTCATACTACATTTAGATTGATGTAGGTTGTACTTTGGGTTCTCATTTAGGCTTTATTATTTTTTTCGAGATTCTACGACGTGTTATGTATATATAACTATAGGGTGCGCATCAGATGTTGACTGGTTGGGACCAATCCACATCAACAGACCAGAGTTTTACTTCAAAATCAGACATTCATGCAACTCAGACAAGTAATTTTATCGTAGTTACCTGTGGACGAAACATTAGTCTAATCCCCGCTTTTCAAATACAAAGGTTTTCCAGATTAGAGGAGATTACTGTGTTCCCACCAACGATGAAAGTATTTGCGCCAAAAACTATGGATCACTTCGTCGACCATCCTATTGTTCTCGATCGAGAATAGTGATTTCTATGTAAATTTATATTTCTGTTCTCTGTACATATGCTGCTTATCATACAGCGAGACTTTATTGCATGGCTTTAAATCTATTATTCAACATATGTAAGGAAAAACACTTTGTTATCTAGTGACTATTTCTGCAGGTAGAAATGAGCGTAGGTTGAGATGTTTGTAAAGTTCTCAATTCGTCGTTATATCTTTGATTGGTGCTTGGATAAACGATCTTAAACTTACATTGTTGTTTTTGATATAAAAGGAATTTGCCCTGTACTATATCTCAAAGCTAATTGTTGTTTGTACTTTTTCATTATCTTACTCGAGTTAACA